CTCCGCAAGATTCTCCGCTATAAATCCTTCTATCTAATATTTCCTGCTGCTCGCACTCAAGAAAACTCTGGGAAGCTGTGGGGTGGTGGGTAAACGCCCCACAACCAGGCACTTGGGAAAAAGAGGCAAGTGGATCTCTATGGAGGCCAAACTGGTCTACATAGTTCCAGGCCAGCCAGGGCCACAGAATGAAATCTTGTCTCAAAAAAACTTCAAACTTTCAAAGGCTTGGAAGAATAGATGTGTGATGTAAATGTGATGTATTGATTGGGATTAGGGAGGAGGGTCAGGATGGGTCAGGGTGTGTCCCTAAACCAGAGCCCAGGAGGGACGGTGGACAAGGGTGAAGGCTATTTTGCAAAAGACATTCCTGGGATGTGTCCCCTTGCATTGCTTAAAAGCAGGAACTAGAATTGTGTGTAAGGTAGTTCTTGGATGGACTGGTTGGTTTAAATGCCTAAAGTGGTGGTGGTAGGGGCGTGATGACTAGCAGAAAAGAGTGGAGAGCTCCCACTTTGGGACAGGAAATGAGTTTCAACAGGACCTGTCAATCCTGGGGTGCATCTCTGGTTTTTTTGTTTTGTTTTGTTTTGTTTTTTTCTGAGATGGTTTCTCTGTGTCATCCTGGCTGTCCTGGAGCTCACTCTGTAGACCAGGCTGGCCTCTGCCCCGAGTACTGGAACTAAAGGTGTATGCATCAGTGCATCTTTTTTTTTTTTGTTTGTTTTTTGTTTTTTTCGAGACAGGGTTTCTCTGTGTAGCTTTGGCTGTCCTGGAGCTCCCTTTGTAGACCAGGCTGGCTTGAATTTACAGAGATCCGCCTGCCTCTGCCTCCCGAGTGCTGGGATTAAAGGCGTGTGCCACCACCACCCGGCGTATCAGTGCATCTTAACATACCATCTTCTTGTTACACCAAAGTGTGAAGACAGATGATTGAGTACCCAAAGGAGGAAGTAAGGACACCCTGAAGCAATAAAGACAGATGTGGCAGAATTGGCATTTCAGTGTGAGACATCATCTTTCCAAAGCAGTTAACAACTCATTTCTTTCCACATTTCTCGTATGTATCTGGTGTGCACATGCAGTTTTTACACATGTGTGGGTACTCATGCATGTGTGTGCATACCCCAAGATTGATGTCCAGAATCATTTCCTTGGCTGTTCCACCTTACTCATGGAGGCAGTCTCTCAATCAAACCTAGCGCTGACACGGCTAGCATGGCTCGGTGGCTTGTCCTGGGGACCCAGTCTCTGCCTTCCCGGGCTGAATTTCCGAGAGGGCTGCCATGCCCACTCAGCATTTATTCTGGGGATCCAAATTCCAGTCTTCATGCTTGTGCAGCAAACCATCCAACCATGGAGCCTTCTCCCCAGCCCCTGCTCATTTATTCTTAAGGGTTCTGTCCATGCTGGCCTGGAACGATGTAGCTCAGGATGGCCTCTAAATCACTGAGATCCTCCTGCCTCAGCCTCTCAACTTCTGGGAGCACAGGTGACCACCACGTTCTGTTGCCACTGCTGTCATTTTCTAAATATCTTCCCAACTTCGGGGAGGCCTCAAGCCTGCAGGGCATGCTGAGGAAGGGGGGCTGAACAGCAGCGTTCCTACCCACCTTGCTGCTCCAAGCCTCCCTGCCCCCAGATTGCTGCCCAGATGGCCCTGTTGCTGCCGGCACCTCATCGATTCATTCTCCATACTGTGTCATTAAATGTAAGATTAATTTCTACCCTTGGCACCCCAGAACAAAAGGAGCATATATTCAAACATTACACAGCTTGACATGGTCAAACACATCTTTCGTCCCAGTATTTGAGAGACAGAGGCAGGAAGATCTCTGTGAGGTCCAGGCATGGTGAGACCCTGTGCCAAATCAAAGGAAAAAATGAAACAAACATGTTAGGCACTAGGAAGATGCTCATGGGGAGGTCAGGCACAAGGAAGGGCACATGCTTGTACAGCTACCACTCAGGTCATGAATTCCAGGCAGCCTGAGCTTCCAAGTGAGACCCTGTCTCAAAAGGGCGTAGAGGGGAGAATGTTGTAAAAGGAATGTACAGAATGATGGGGAGGAATTATAATATGCACCAACAGCTTGTTAGGTTGGGCAAGGCATGAGTGGGTGGGGAGTTACATTTAGAGAGTCATACCACATTAAGGAATTGGGATGTAATGGTAGTCACTAAAGAGTTCAGGTGTTTTCTGAAGAGCATGGGCTGTCTGGGGGGATACTAAGGAGGACAGGCTGTGGTGGCATATGCCTTTGATCCTTTAATCCAGCAGGTGGGTCTCTGAGAGTCTGAGGCCCACCTAGGCTAGAGAATAAGACCCTGTTTCAAAAAACAAAATACTAAAAGAAAAAAAAAACCTATAATGGCTTAAGTAGTGAAACAATTTCAAGATGGCAACCTTGTAACAAGTAAAGGCTACATCCCATTTCTAGGTTAGTTCTGGGAGTAAACTGTTTAAAGGCCAGTGAGACTGCAGAAAAAGGTGCTAGATACTGACAGCAAGGTGGGTGACCTGAGTTCCAGGCCTGGGACCCACATGGTAAAAGGTGAGGACCGACAACACAGGCTGTCTGTCCTCTTACCTCCATGGTGCCCCCCCCAAAAAAATTAAAGTAAGAATATTTTCGGTAAAAAATTCAAACACGTGTACCCTCTGCTTTCAGAGCTAAAGTTTGATCTGTTATAACCCAACAGCCCATAAAACTTTACATATTAATTTTTGCTGGGCTGGAGAGATGGCTCAGCAGTTAAGAGCACTAGCTGCTCTTCCAGAGGGCCTGGGTTCAATTTCCAGCACCCACATGGCAGCTCACAACTGTCTATACAGAACTCCAGTTCCAGGGGATCTGACACCCTCATAAGACATACATGCAAACAAAGCACACCAATGCACATAAAACAAGAATAAATAAGGCGTTTTTTTGTTTTTGCTGTCCCTGCTTTAAGCAATAGCAATCACCAAAAGCAATGGCAGAGTAGCCTAACTGGCTTCAGGATCAGATTTTTCCAGAATTGACGGAGGGAGGCCTTTACCAAGTGGAGTGGCAGGTCTAGATGGAGCCGGCAGGGGTAAGGGTTACTGCACTAACTTTCTTTCTGTAATTTATATTACATGTATTTATTTACTGGGGGTGGGGGTGGGAGATGTATGCCACAGTGCTCATGGGGTTGGGGTGGGGGCTCAAACTAAAACGTGCAGGCAGAGGCTTTCTCTTTTCACCCTGTGGGGCTCAGGGATAAAACTCAAGTCTTCAGGTTTGGTCTCCAGTGCCTTTACACACTGAGCCATCTCGGGTCCTCTTAACTGCTTCCCCGGCCCTTCTCTTTCTGCAGCTCATCCCCCAAGCAGCAGCCTTTTCTTAAAAAAAAAAAAAAAAAAAAAAAAGACGAGACTCCCTACCTTAAAACTCTAAAGCTACCCTAAAATCGGTGACCTCAGGATGAATTTCACATTAAATACACGTAGTTGACCCTGGCCACCTCTACAACCCATATTCCCCTCTACTCCTCCTGACTTCCTGTATTTGCATTTTCCTTGAGGCCCTATCTTTCCCAGGCCTTTGCACAAACCTACCTTTACCTGAAATGTCACCACCCAGCTCTTCCTGCTTCCTTCCCCAGACGCTGAGCTCACCCGGCTAGGCAGTGTTGGGGCGGTTAAATGTCTGCCTCCGTCAGAAGGCAGAAACTGACGGGCAAACTATTTCAACCCCCAGTCAATAGTAGATGCCTAATAAAGAATGAATGAAGGTAGGCGGAGGGCTTCCCTAACAGAAGGCAGCCTGTATTTTACAAGGGTGTAAAAACATGGATAGCAATCCTTGTCTACATGGCTGCTTGGGGGGGGGGGTAAAATGTCTAACTTATCCAATAAATTTGAGACTACATTAAATCTAATTTGTAGCCGATATGAAACGCATTCCTCGTACGCCGGGGCGAAGGAGCACCCCCGCCCTGAGCATGCTGATTTCGTGGCAGCAGGAGCGCCTGCGTGGTCCCTCCAAGGTGACTGGACCGCCAAAAGCCTGAGCCATTAAAGGAGGCCGCGGCGCTCACCCAGCCGAGGGAGGGAGCCCCTTCTAGAAGCCTGGGGTAGGCCCGGCCACCGCGGCCCACGTGCGCGACGAGCGCAGCCCCGTGCAGGGACGTTCCCTCTACGCGTCCTCCCGGTACTCTATGGTGCTCACGGCCGAGCAGCTCATTCTAGTTCCGGTCTCTATGGCGGCGAAGGCAGGAGCGGCTGTGGGTCGGCCGAATTAGTCGCCAAAGGGGCCAATAAGGGCGCAGGAGCCGCAGAGCGTGAGCCAATAGACGCGAGAGCCCCGGTCAGGTGGTGGGATTGACGGCGGCCCTGGCCAATGGGGGAGGACGAGGGCGGGCCTATCGCGGGGCTTATCCCGCCCGTCCCGCCATTCTCGCTAGTTCGATCGGTAGCGGGAGCGGAGAGCGGACCCCAGAGAGCCCTGAGAGCCCCACCGCCGCCGCCGGCCTAGTCACCATCACACCCCGGGAGGAGCCGCAGCCGT